CAAGAGAGTAGAGTTCTTGTCCCCATTTGACCATGAAGCTCCCAGGATATCTCTGAGTCATTTCTCAACTCTTAGCCTAGCAGACCTCACAGTCGTGTAAATAGAGTGGAGAAAAGGAGGCTCATGTAGGCTGTCATAGGTCCTTTCAAAAGGTAGCTTGTAATCATATACATAAATTATTAGTTTAAAAGACAAGAAATAGCAAGAAGAAATCAGTAATTAGTGATACCCACTGTCCTGTGAAAACAGAAGTGAGCAAAGAAGACTTTGCCACTAATTCCTTGCTCAAGCCCTCAGGAAGCAATAAAAGAAGGCTGAATGAAGTACTTCTCCATTTTAGGAGAAGTGTATTATGTATCTCCGGCAGGGGGGCCTTCCCTGTGCTAACACCCTAACTTTGGAATACCCTCCCAAGGAAACGGAATTGACACTAACACTGAATCCTCTTCTATACCAAATCAAAACATTTCTCTTTGCCTTGACATTTTGAACTAAGAATTCTGTTTGTCCAGGCCTAATTTTAAAATACCATCTGCGCTGATCTACTTGGAAATCCTTACACACACACACACACACACACACACTTTGTAAATAAAAACATTTTAGCTGAGATCTTTATTTGCAGATTTTATGGTTTTCATATCTGTGAGATGTTTTCGTTATTTTACCTAGTTTTTATAATTTTATGTGCATTACGCTGGGAATCCTTTGGCAATGAAGGCAGTGTATGAAATAATTAAATCAAAAATTAAACAAAAAATAAAAATAGAAACAAGGGAGCCCTCAAAAACTTCAAGAACCCCGTGTCTGTCAATGGTGGGCATTGCTGCATTTTCTCACCCCAGCAGACCCCCAAAATTGCTACATATCTTGAGAACAACAAACACAAAAGAGCAAAAGAAAAAAATACTGGTTTCAAAGAGCTGACCATCATCTGGGTGCTGCAGAAAAAAGGGCTAGAGAAGAAGTCACATATATTCACACCTTTTTAAAAAGATTCTTTTAAAATTCTGAATACTTGAAATGGCTCCAGCAATTGGCTGGAGCCTTTTTCCATCTGTAGAAAGGAAATAGCTTCCCTAAACCTGGGAAGCAATTTGAAAAACTGCAAATATGGCAAGCTGAATCTTATCAACTAGCACTACAGACGATTGGGTTCACAGAATTACCCCAAACAAAAGTGCCTCAGGCAAGCAAAATGCCTGAGAGGCCTTTGTTCTGGCTGATTTTTTTCCTCTAGAGGTTTTAGTCAGCACAAGAATGGCTTTCCACTCTCAGCAAAGTACAAGTTATTTAAGATTTAAGCTTTTCTGAGATTATGTATGGCAGTAACATCTGCATAGCAATGATAAACTTTTTTCTTACATAACAATACTTTGGTCTACAAATTTAAACCAGCATATATGCTTCCCTAAATGGATTTCAATTTTGTTTGTTGGAGGTTTTCACTCAGACTCTTGGCTTTCAAAAGAGACTAAGATAGTCTGTTTTGAACCTTCTTTTGTTCCCTTGTTTGGACCTACTGTTTGGGATACAGAAGTACCCCATAGCACTATTCTTGTGGACCTTTGGGGTACATTTTAGGCTCTGAACGTGTTCAAAAAAATACAAGGCAGAAGGCTGAAATTCGGGGAATTTTTAAACTAGGGTTTGTTTTTTTTCACTATGTCCTAGAAGAACAAGTCAGTAGTACTACCTATGTGGCAATTACAGTGCAGAATGTGAGTTTCAGAGATACCAGTTACCCCACCATGCAGGTGAGGGTTTACTGCTGAGTAAAGAAATAAATTTTAAGACTGCAATCCTATACATATTCACCTAGAAGGAAGTCCCACTGAATTTAATAGGGCTTGCTTCTCAGTGGACATGCTTAAGATTGCATGGTTAACCACCTCACTATTAGTTCAATAAAAGGGACTGCCTCACTCACTTTAAGTGCTCCGCATTCTCAGAGCAATGCAGCAGTAACATTCTATAGCAAACTAGATATTATTCTTGGCAGAACCCTGATGTGTTAATAGCTGGAAAATCAAGTACTTGGCTAGCACAAGAGAGGAATTTTTAAGCAGCACAACAATGAAACAAGAGGATAAATGTCACTTTGAGTCATCACTTGCCCATCTCCTTTGCACTCCACCCAACCCCTCTCTCTCTCTCTACACACACACAAACACGGAGGGAGGGAGGGAGGAGGGAGGGAGGAAAGTGCTTGAGTAAATTACACTTTTTTTTCTTTGAAAATGAACCCTGGGTCTAAAAAGTACAGTTTTCCATATTGCTTTCCCAAGAAATGCGTGTCTTTACAAAATAGAAAAAGCTCAGCATCAACATTTACAAAGTCAGTTGTTCAGTGAGCCTCTGCTTCTATTTTCACTTTGGATTTTTTACTGGATCTGCTCAACCAAACATCCAATGACAGACTAGATCCATGTCACTGCAAGGTCAGAAGATGTACTTAAAACTTATGAGCTTACTTATGCTCATGCAACTTCTATTATTGTGTGTTATGTTTCAAGGTTCACTGTATTCAGGTTTTCAAGACTTCTTCAGCTATCCAAAAACACATGGGAGGTTTCTCCAAGATCACAACACTCTAAGCCATAAAACAGTAAAGACCAACCAGAAACAACTAGTCTTATTTTAAGGCTGCTGGGAAGAAAATTAGCGAGGAATGTGTCTGTAGAGATTAGAAGAAAGATTTCTTCTTCTTCTTCTTCTCCTTCTTCTTCTTTTAGTAGCTTCAGGATTATAACACCTCTAATTCCGTAGGCCTTCACATGATCACTAGAGGCAAAACAGTCTTGCCCCAGAGTCTCAGGAGTTAGTTCTCCTTAGATATAAAATGGTTTAAGACCTGTCAAACACACACACACACACATTCTCCCTCCCTCCCTCCCTCCCTCCCTCCCTCTCTCTCTCTCTCTCTCTCTCTCTCTCTCTCTCATCGTTTTAGGCACTTTTCAATGTCCAGACAAATTTATTCTTTTTGGAGCTCTAAGCATAGGAAGCTTAAGCTACCTCATACTAAGTTAGATCAGAAGTCCATCTAGCCCAGTGTTGTCAACACTGACTGGCTATGATGGAATTCGGGTTAGCATTTCCTAACCCTATCCGGAGATGCCAAGAGTTAAACCTGGTGGCTTTGACATCCAGTGTTTACACTAAGTGAAAGTTAATTGCTCAAGGCCATCTGAATCTGAACCTTAGGTTCTTGCCTGCCTAAAGGGAACTTTGATACCAACTGTCCCACAATCACAAGCGACTGCACTTTATCTGCAGGAGTTAAGTCTACAAGTGATCCACCTCTTTGGTTGCACTAACAGTCAAATGACATTGTGCAACTTTTCCATCTTTCCTGCCTTAACAGATTTTCTTTCAGAAGGGAATAAAGATGGAAGGAGTGGAAAACACTGAATAGTTATATACGGAAAACATCATCTAGAACTTCCGGAAAAATCCGTGAATGAGACAATGTGTTTGCATAACAAACATTTCTGGAAGAACCCATTATCAATATATCCCAGTAACCCCCATCTTTCAACCATTAGAATGATTCCCATTAAAGCCAGAGACAGGTGAACAATCCATTAGTGGACCCCTGCACTCTATATTCACTATGGAATTGCCTTGTGCAGTCTAATACAACAAATGTGTGCATGCTTATATACAATGCCTTTTTCAACAGAGATTTCAAAGTGAACGAGGGTTATTAGTGTAATCAAACCCTCACCCACTAGGCCAAGATGGATGCTGCACCACAAACAGGGTGCCTGTAGTTCATGGGAGTAATAGGGGAAAAATAAGGATCTATTATTTCCGTCTCTGTTTCAGCCTTAAGCTTTAAGGGATCTCTGGATAGAAGCAACCCGGGAAAAACCCTGAGATCCTGTAAATGTATCTGCCTTTAAAAGAAGTCCTGCTGCTAACAAAGGGAGGCTCTTTGCATCCTGCAGCCATATAGGTTAGCACTATCCTATTAGAATACCGGTTTGAGATATTCATCAAATGCTGGATCCAATCGTGTCAGATCTTTTCCAGGGGAGCCCCAAAACATCCAGCCGGCATGCCACCGTTAATTAGGAGCAACTGTTTCCTGCATTGCAGAGATAGAGCTAGCACCACAGTCAGAGTTACCGGGGGGGGGGGGGGGTTATAGGCTCATGCCACTAAAGCGAGGCATGCAATATCATGCTATCCAGAGAAAACCAGAAGAATCAACGCCCTCTTATTCACAGGAAATGAGGCCAAGGAAGCCTTCCCCAGGGTCAGATAAAGCCAAAGAGCCTTCAATGAAGGACGTAACTGAAAGCAGCATTCAAGTTTAAAGTGACAATAAACGCACTCTCCCCAACAAGCCGGACTGGGAACGGTTTTTCTTCCTCTTAGGTTACGCGGGGGGGGGGCGTGGGGAGACGACGGGGACGGTTGAACACAAAAGAAAGTTTGCGGCTTGCGTTGTTCCTTGGTGCAACAACGTGCCACATTTCTGCAAGGCAGGGAGATGAATCACCCGAGACGCCTAAGTTTCCCTATCCTCTTTTTCTCTCAACCCCAAAGCACACACACTTCTCCTTTCTTCCCTAGTTGCTGCTAAAATAAGAAGCCCTTCAACCCTTTTAAAGAAACCTATTTTTGCCCCTTCCTGGGTTACAGCTCTTTCAAGCAAAACTCTCTCTCTCTCTCTCTCTCACACACACACACACACACGGGAAGGAGGGAGGGGACCGGCAATTCGGATTCTACCCCGTTTGGACACACATCCACCTCCTCCGCCCTAACTGCTTTGAGACACCCGGGTTTCCGTGGCGTGGAAATCCGCTTCCCGTCCCTCGCCCGCCGCCGAAGCAGCTCATCCACGTTGGCCCCGCCGCTGACCACACCTCGCATCCCGCCACCCACCCACCCACCCAGCCCGTTCCCGCCGGATTCCTTCGCGGCGCGCGTCCCCGCACACCTCGGGCGGCAAAGGCAGAAGCGGGCCGGGAGGGGCGCGGCGGTACCTTGCTCGGCAGCCCGTCTCGGCACTCTGGAACTTCGAAACAGAGGACAGAGGGCTGTCTGAAGCGCAGCCAAACTCAATCACACCCAGCTCTGAGCCAGCCCTACTTCCTGACATCAGCACAAGGAAGCTCTCCCTCGACTTCTTTCTTTCATTGTATACATTAAACACACGCGCACACCCCCATCGGAGGGGCAGGGACAGCTACCGAGACGGCGGCTTCCTCAGAAGAGAACGGGCTCCCCATCGCGGGACGGAGGGGGTGGGACTTGAACTCAAATTAGCACCACGATTTTAAAAAGCACACCTCTCGCCTTAAGGAGCGGCTGTGGAGATGCGGGCCCTGTTTGGAAGCCTGGTTGCCCCCTCGGTTTCCTCGACTTTCCACCTCTCCGGCTTTTCCAGCCCAAGCGTTTACTCGCCGATTTGTGTTTTTGTTTGCCAAGAGAAGGGAAGAACTAGGAGCAGGGGGCAAAGCTGGTGAGGAAATTAAGTTACAACATTCGTGGAGGAGTTTTAAGAAAGTATGGAAGCACTCATCAAAGATTCTCTTAAGACAAGGTTTTCAGACATTTGTTTGCCATGTTCTTCCACGTTCCATTGCAAGGAATTCCACACGTTTTAGGGTATACATTAAGTCCAGATGGGGCACATGAGCCTTGCAGTCCCTCTAAATGAATAGAAATACACCTTAGAACATGCTCTGCAATTCCAGGACGTTGTAGACTGAAGGGGCTGAAATCACTGGTGGAGGCCAATGTGCCTTCCAAGAAACCTTGCCTGCCATTACGACGTGTTCATTGAGGTAGGCCTTACAAATCCGTGTTATCAAAGGAAGAAGCAATAATAAGCCTTCAAGGAAGGCCGAGTTCCCTGGAACAGTTGGAAAGCTCCTTGCCATAAATACATAAATCTGTACAGACTACCAAACCTTAGCACTGGTCAGATTAACAGATGGATTTTGTAGGTCGATTCCAGTTTGATCAAACTTTACAACACATGAACATAACTCAGTTCTGAGTTATGATGGCCGTGTTTGCAAAGTGTGTGTGGAAGTTCAGCATGACAGTTGTATGTTGCATGTGGGGAGGGAGGATGGAATGCCATGATCTGAAAAAAGGCTAGCCAGACTAGCTGGAACAGTAAACAAGAAAGTACCACACTGCAACATTTTGTTGCAGGTCCCACTTGTCTATTAGCAAGACCTAACGTGCCACACACTGGGTCAGGCAACATGATAGCCCCACTGAAGGGTTCCATATGAGTTGAGTTCACTGTCATTAAACCATGGGTTGTTGTTGAGGCATGCGTTTTCGTTTGCACTGCCATGGCTTTTTAACCACAAACAGCCCTTGAAGAGAGCTCACAGTTTCTTGGGTGGTAAACTGTGGGTTGTTCACCAGAGTTCATTATGTCAGCTGGGATCAGACATTTTATTTATTTATTTCAATTTCTTATATACCATCAGATTATTATAAAAACGCAAGGTGGTTTACATTAAAAAAGACAAATATACAAATTTAAATGAAAACATCTTACATATAATACATAACATAGTTAAAAACTCCTTGCTATGTGTTGTAGCAATTGGCCACACTTGCTACAACGCATTCAAATACATTATTGATTAAAAGCACAGGGAGAATAAAAAGGCTTTGGCCTGGTGCTGAAATGAAGCATCAACACCAGGTGGACCTCTCTGGGAAGCAAGTTCCATAATCAGGGCGCTACTGCAGAGAAGCCTCTCCTCACCTCTCTCTAGGAGGGCTCTCAGAGGCCCTCTGTGAATGATCTTAAGGTCCGGGCAGGTTCATACAGAAGGAGATGTTCCCTTAGGCAACCAGGCCCTAAACCATTTAGGTCTTTATATGTTATTGTTAATACCTTAAATCGAGCCCGGACTTCAATTGGTAGCCAGTGTAGCTTATATAGGACCGGTGTGATGTGTTCTCATCCATCGGTCCCTGTCAGCAGTCTGGCAGCTCTATTCTGAACCAATTGCAATGTCCAGATAGGGTTATCTTCAAGGGTTGCCCCACACAGAGCTCATTACAATAGTCCAAGAAGGTGGTTACCAGTGCATGGGTTGCTGTTGCTAGGGCCTGTCTGTCCAGGTAAGGACACAGCTGATGTACCAGTCTCAGCTGAAGGAAAGCACTCCTTGCCGCAGATGCCACCTGTAATTCCAGGGATAGCTCAGGGTCAAGGAGTACTCCTAAGCTGTGTACACTGTCTTGTAGTGGGAGTGCAGCGCCCTCCAAAACATGACGATCCATGGCTCAGCAACAGCCCACCCTCAACCCATACCTAACCCATTGAATTCAGTCAATTATTCTGTACCTTCGTGATTTAAACAGCAGCCTTTCTTGAACAGCACAACTAAAAACTTTCCTTCTCACTATTTTCTTTCTAATTCCTTCCTTTCAACATACTGAAGTTTGCCAGGCTGCTAAAACTGATTCAAGGAATCTATTTGGGTTCCTGGTTCAAACTGAAGCAATTTATTTTCATATAAATCAATCAATTTTCAGTTAATCCACAGTGAAAGGTTATGAGAGCTAGTTTGTCAGCAAGGTTGCCACCATATTAAGCAGTGGTTGTACTTAAAAAAACAAGGCTAATTTACATCATCTTTAATGCCTGTGGCCCTTTGACTTAAAGCATGACTCCTTAGTGAATCTAGATCATAGCCATTAGAGGCCATTTGCTTTTTTAGAGCTTACAGCAAAGTAGCTAAATTTGTAGTTCAGCACAACTATAGACTGTGATCTTATACACAGCATTTTCTTCCAGATACATTTATGCCTTATTGCCTGCAAGAAGATAACTCAGTTTCTCTAGCTTTAAATGCACAGATCTCAGTCTTGCATATTATGCAATGGCATAGTTCATGTGTATGTCAGTGCAGGTCTGTGGGCCTCAGGCATTATACACACAGGCTGGCTGTCCAAGAACTTGGCTCCCTTTTCCCCCAACAGACGTTTTACCCATTTATATGTAGGGCATAATATAGGCATGGATAAGGGCTAAGTGGAAGCTTGGAATTGGGTGCTTCTGAAAGTCTGACCCACAAAGGGCTAAACAAATGCATTCCACATGCCCCTGCTCATTCCTTGGCTTAGGCAAAAGTTACACCCATCACTGTTATTTGTTTATTTCCTCAACAGGGTTTTCCTTCTTGGCAGAAGTCTAAGCCCAGAGCCAGGGCAGGACTGCTTGATTACCAGCATCTGCCTGTTGCTATAGAGGGAGAAAAACTTATGCACAAAGGCAGGTGAGCCGTAGAATTGACCCTGAGCAGCACATCTTGGCTGTAATATATATGTACGAATATATGCTTCTTTATTAGAATTCCTATTAGACTAGTCGTAAAAACGATAAAGTAGATTGTTTGTTTTTAGCCAGTTGTCAATGTTACATGCAAACACTGACATTTACAATCTATTTAAATGTAGATTAGCACATTCAAATAAGAGTTGCTTACAGGTGGGAGTTCTATGAGCGACAACACTGTTGGCAACTGTTATCAGTACTATAGTTCTCAATTGTGTGTATTACATGTCTATATGGCTAAGATTCTATATGAATTCTAAATTCTCCTTTCTTTGTGCTCAGCTTGCCTCTGTATTTAATCTGTTGATCCAACTGTGTGCTATACGGGGGTGTCAGCATCTAGAACGGCTCTTCTGTGTAGGAATGAGTGGGTGTTGATGCATGCACTGATGACTCAGTGCGCTTGTGTGTCTTTGGATAAATGTGGTGCACATGAATCAATCCATTCATGTAGGCGGATCTGTTTCATGTGCATGCCAAGCTGCAGCTGAGAAGGTAGTTCTCATTGATTGATTTCTGCGCTATTTGCAGAATGTTAACCCATTTACCTTGCCCTGTTAGGATGAGAGAAAGTTTCAACAATAGCATGTGCAGGACTAGTGTCAAGGATGGGCTTGGTCAGGCACTTGTCAAAGGCCCACACCCCAGTGAAGAACCCCCCTGGAGGAGCAGGTCCTCTCCTCTATTGCATCCTGCATGTTCCACTGTGGCACAGAGCACGGGGGGTGGCCAGAAAGAGGAAACGCGGATGCAAGTGCCTGCTTGCTTGACAGAGAGAAAGTGCATGAGGAGTAATAGCTGGTGGCACTGCTAGCAATGAGAAGGAGATTCATTAAGAGAGGAGCCCACTGAAGGTGTTTTGTCTTGTTCCGTCAATGAAAGGAGAGCATTACGCATCTACAAAAGAGAGGGCCTTCTCTGTGGTGGCACCTATTGATGATACAGCTGGTGCTTTTCTGTGCCAAATTAAAATGTTCCTGTTTGCCCAGCGATCTTATGGAGAATTTTGAAATGTCAGCATTGTAAATGTAATGAAATCTAAATTTACTTTAGAATGATACCCTGTGTGTGTCTGCTGGTTTTATGGATTTATTACTCCAGTTTTATTATTATTTTGTTTTTATTATTTTATGTACATTGCCCTTGAGTCACTCTTGGTAGTGATAAAGGGGCAGTATAGAACATTTAAGAATGATTATATAAATTATAAAACTTGCCCTCCAAAATACATGCCATCTACAGCTATAAAAGAAAGAAAGCATAACAGCAAACAAACCAACATCCATCATATGTCATTATTGTTTCCAAAAAGTACTCAAACTATAGAAACCTTCATACCGCTTATGTAGAAGAGCAGTTCTAGACATTAAGCCAACATCCCTCCTCCTAAGTTTCACTATAAAATGCCCAACTTTAGACAGCTTACAGAGGAATAAAAGCATAATGCATAAAAGTACTTCCCACCCCACCAGTGATAATAACCTTAACACTGGGGCAGGCAACTTGTAGCCCTCCAGATGTTCTTGAAATGCAGATCCCATCATCCCCGCCATTGGATAGGCTAGCTAGGGTTGGCAGGCATTGTAGTCCAACAACTGGAAGGTTACAGGTTACCAATCCTACCTTAACATCAGAATCGTTTTCTTAAAATACTCATATCCCAGATGTCACTCTACCCTGAAATGAAGTACCTGGCCTTCTACTGCAAGGATTATGCTCTAATGCACCCCACTGGGAAGAGCACTCCTGCTACATATCCCAG